TATATATATATATATATGTCTTACACATATATGTACATATGTCGAAAACATATATGGTATACGTATATATATATATATATATATATATATATAGTGTTTTACTGGATTGTAGGCTGCAATGAGAATGACATGCCGTGTTGTGGAAGAGCAAAATGCACTTCGGAAAAATTTCATCAAAGCCTATCGCAAGTCGGAAATGAAAGCCGTTGCGGCCGAGCACTTCTTAGATAATCTCGTGGTATGTATTTTACCTGCCATGATATGTGCCATTACATTCACTGTGATACTTTGTTTAGTTTGGATTTCATCGTTGCATTCTCACTATCAACAGCACCAGCTAAGTTTCCATTCTTCTCAGTTTCGAGCTTGTCTCAATCACGTAATTTCATGTAGGCATGTATTTGGTGGGAAGGGGCAGGGAGAGAGGATTCTGAAAAGAAAGGAAGGCCATGGGGAAATATAGTAATTTTATTAATATAATAATTTTACTAAAATCTTATTAAAATAATTCTACTAACTTTTTAATTCTTATTTCGGAATTTCCTCTTCGATTCTCCTTCTTATTTCAATATACCTTTCTGTTTTAGTATTTGCTTCGTACAACAAAATAATAAAATTACTCATTTTTTTCGATATTTTCCTTATTTGTACGATTAAAAACGTAGATCTGTATGAACATGGATTGTTTAGTAATAATGAAAATGCAGCCTTTCTTCACATCGTCGTAGTAGATCCATCACAGGAAAGAATTGCTCAAGCGCAAAACTTCGGCTACCCAGTGTGGAAGCCTCATTTTTTCCGTTTTCTTTGTGAACTTCACATGGTTTAAATGTGACTTTACAGACGCAGCTGTGTCATCCAGAAGGCATCTTCCACGATCCGGAATCTTGGCCATCAAGTTGGGCACTTGATCCAACAGAGGGACCAAACAGAGAACGCCGCCGATTGATGTACTCGCATTTGACTTTTGATAAGAAATTTGTACAGCGTCGATCAGTGGACAAAGTGAAAAAACGAGAAAAATCACCGCCCCTCTTCCATTTATTGGTATGTTTCAAAGGCACAGAAGCGAAGGTTTTTTTTTTATAAATTTTGTATTCTGTTTAATTTTGTAAAGTAAGTCTTGGAGTGTGAAGGGTTTTTCAAAAAATGATGCCAGCAATGAAAGCACTGGCAATTAGAACGCCCGATGCTGTAGGTCGAGAATCAGACTTCACCAGTAGGGTATCCAGCTTTTTGCGTTTTGCACATTTGTTTTCGATGGTAAACTGGTACTGACATATGCCAAAAAAACTCTGTAATCGGTTTATTTCTAAGCAATCTTGGAAGAGAGGGCTATCGGCAACCTTGCCAGTGGCTGCTTGTTTTTGGCACATGCTACGCTCTCAGTTCACTTCCCCCCTCCTCCTCAACCCCCCCGTAACTTCTACTTCTTACGGGGAATGGGTATGGAAGAAATTTCGATGAAAATTTTGGAAGCTGAAAAAGCAAACAGTGATTGCGCGGTGGGACGAAAAATACGTGCTTTAACTGTTCATGACCATGACTAGGAGGATAATAGTAAGGTTGAAGAGCAATGTACCTTGGATGAAGGTGACAGCCAAGTTGTACAATAAATCACTGCACAAAATTTAGCTGGAGCGTTGGACCTGGCATTAGTGTTATTGCACCCAAAGTTTATGTGATCTTGAGTCCTTCTGAGGGATGAACATATGGAGAATTTTGTCTGATTAGTAGTTTTTTTTTTTTTTGTTTTGCAGGGTGGACTGAAAAGAAATCTCAAGGAATGGAGTTTGGCG